ATTATTTGTTATCATTAAAAAATTCTGATTTTAATGAAAATTCATGTGTACATATAATGGATCATATTTCGAGTAATTTCTTTTAAAAATTTTCAAAATTCTCTAATATTTCGAATAATTCGAATAATTCTAAAATACCTTTTCTGAGGAGAACGATTAAACGAAAAATTTTATATTCGTTTCGTATTCTGTGTTGTTGCAAAGTTATATTAAAAAAAGAAAAAAAAATCGTAATTTCGAATCGAATAATTTTCCAATTCTGATGATCTCGATTCGTTAATCGAGATAAGCGAAGATTTTGTAAAAAATTTCACAAATTGCGAGGGGAAAAAAAATCAGATTGGAAAACTCGAAAGATTTTCCTTTTACCGGAAAACTAAGTATCAATCGAGTTGTCCAGGCCATTCACTGTTTCTCAAACTTTATTTTATTTATTTAAAAGTTTTATTGCTCTTCTTCCAGTTCCTCTATTATTTTTCTTAATAAGTAAAAATCAACTTGTTCGTCGTTCAACGAGTTATTTAGACGCTTGATATAATAATTTACTTTTCTACTTGTTCTCCACTTTTGACGATGTCGAAGTATTCTTGAAAAATTTTATGTAATAAATATATATTATATTCACATTTATTTCATATAAAATATGTGTATTACGATGCCGATAAAATAGATATAAAATTTTTTTCTCAAGTGAATAGAATAATTCTTAATCTTCTCGAGAAATAAATTAATAGTTTGAAGTTTTATCGAAACGAGATATTTCGATCGAATAAATTATTGAAAATTTACATATCGTTGTTTTAAAACAAATTTTGGAAACAAAAAATATCCTGTTATTTCGTGTAATCTTTCTTCTTACCGCTGTTTTCAAAATATTTAACAAACTATTTTCAGATGTTCCCTCGTTAGAAAATTTTGGTTGTTAAAAAAATTTACTCTCACAATTACTTGTCAAAACAGTGAGCATAAAAATAACAAGCTTTTGACGAAAAAACTGTTGGAAAAACTCTGATTGTTAAAAAAAAAAAAAAAGAAAGAAAACTGAAAACAGAAAATTTAAAAAAATATTGGAATTTAAACGACAATGGGAAACTTTTATAACAAAACGTGTCTACTACTGAATATCTCGTAAATTTTTCTACTTTGTTAAATTACAGTCGGTACATTTATTACAAATTTGTGTAAATTGTGTAATAATTTATCTAATTTTCCCTATCAAATATAATCTTTGGTGATTGGAGAAGGACATTTATGCATATTATTAATCATTCCAATACTATTAATAAACCAATACCATTAATAATTCCTGGAAAAAATAAAAACAAAGCTATTTCAACAACAAATAGTTTCCTTTTATGAAAATTAGGAAAAAATATTTCAATAACAATAATCCATTGTACTGCTTCCAAAACAATTTACACGAATATTTATAAAATGCAATAATTATTGCTTAATGAATCAATTCCTCATCATTTTGCATCAAAGAAATAACATATATTTCCAATTACATATATTATATACAAATGCTCATACATATAGAATGTTCAAACTATTATATAATTATATAATTTATATAAAATATTTATGTATAAATACAAAAGTTTCTTTGTTCACAAAAATTCCTTATCTTTCTTTATCTCTCACTCCAGAAATATCTCAATCCACTCTTCGATTCGGTGCTGCGATCTCTGAAGAAGGGAGAGATAGCTAAAACACGTGTTATACAATATTTTTGAAAATTATTCGACGAACGTTTTTCCAATCCGATTAAGCGATACACTTCCCACTTGAATGCATCGTTAGAACGTGATTGACGTGCAAACGTATTCGAGCAAACGTTGTCCACCAGAGTCGATCAATCGTGGACACACAGCAAGCCTTTGTGTTGTCCCTTTTTTTCAAAAGGGGGAGGAGAAGCGTTTAAAAAGGGATGCCTCGAAAATGCGCCAATTAATGGTGGTGGACCACAATTCGAAATATCCTAATGTGTTTCAACCACCAGAGGGGGAGGGGGGGTGGTTACCCCCTGGAAAGGAAATCGACGATGAATGAGTTGGCGCGCGCTCTGACGTGACTCTCTTTAAATACTACTAAAGAGGACGTAATTGAATGGAATTTGATTACAGATTTGGGCGCAGATTTGAGAATTGAGAGATTTGAATTTTTTCTTTTTTTTCTTCAGATGTATCGCGTTGTTTGGAAGGTAATTTCGTTTTTTGACAATGAGACACTTTTACACTTTTTTAATGGCACATGGAAGAATTCAATCTAATGTGTAATTTCTCGAGTTGTTTCAATCAGCTTCAACTTGTCTTCCAGAAAGTATTTTTAATATCAAAATTGAAATCGGAACGAAATTTTGAAAACCAGTTTTGACATTGGCTGTTAATATACCTTCTTCATAAACTTTGCATAATTTTTTTCTTGCCTGAACAGTAATAATCTTAATCCAATTATATATAATTATATATATATATATTACAAATGTGCTCATACATATAGACATATACACATGTTAAAATTCTATAGTTATATAATTTATATAAAATTATATAATCTTTTCGACAATAAAAAAAGTAAAATATATGCCAAAAATGTTCTTTTTGATGTTGCATTTTTGTTATCTACATACAAGTGGACAGAATTAAACGAATTATTCTTATAAATAAACGATGAAATGCCAACATTCAAAATATATATAATAACAACACGGTTTAGAATGAAGTTGGCTGGATAAACATTCAACTAGCGACACTCGTGTGAAAAAACGGAATTACTCTCCGAATAAATGATATTTCTTTTATTATTTCAAGTTTAACGTGGTGTATTACATCTTGTTTTTTTATTAATGATGCGATATTGGTTTTTCGATGAAAAGAGAAAGAGAGAGAGAGAGAGAGAGAGAGGAATTCATTTTTCTGCGAATAAATGAATACTGCCTGTGTCGTAATAGTAGGTAATATCTTGGTGTGGTAAACAAGCTGTGATATTACATCATCATGCGCGGGAAAATAATCGAGAACGGTGATACAACAGTTCATAGTGATTCATAAGCTCAGTTATTGGTTAAACTGTGTGATATATTCGTGCGCAGAGAGACGTAAAATATTCAAAATATAGAAATATGGAAATTATGGTTATTACAGTTTTATTATATTTCTCGAAATTTTCTATTTATAAATTATCATTGTGTGGATCATTCAATTGTAAAAGAGACTTAACCTATTTATTCTCTTGTGTTCTCGAAGAGAATAATTTTATCAATTAACATTATTATAATTAATTATAATGGAATTATAATGGAAAGGTCTGTCAATTATTTGACTAATTATAAAAATTAGCCAATGTACTTACAACAGTCTCTCTGATACTTGAAAATTCTTCGAACGAAATTTCCATCAATTATTCTTAATTAGAATCACAATTCTGCCTAATTGCATCACTACTTACGTGTATATTATACAAAAGAATTTGAGGGGTATCGTAGAATCAAATCATGTCACAAAAAAGATTTTCTCGAAACAAAAACAGCACAGTCACTTCCATTCGTTCAATTCTTCAATTAAATGACTATTTATTATGCTATCTTTGTCGATATACTATTTAAAGATTTTATTTTCATGGAGCAGATTGATCTAAAATTATAAAACATATTTCATAAAACATATTTTTGATAAACAGATGAATAATATATTTTCCAAGTTTCTTCTAAATTGATATAATTAAATAATTTAAATATACATTTTTACACGATAAGTGTAAAATTTAATTTTTAAATCCTTAAAACTAAAAATATTATCCTCATAAAGTTAAAATTAATTTTTATTATAAATTTACAGTTTGTCCCATAAATTTTCAATCTCGAATCTCGAAGACGGCGGTGAATGCAAAGAGGAGAAGAAATATGCATTCGTGGTGAGGGGTGAAAGGTAAACAACGACGCGTGCAACCGAAATAACCAAAATAGAGCGAAGATGGGGTGAGGAAAAGGGACGAGACGACGCAAAGTTTTGCAAATCAAATATGAAAATAAAAAAGAAAAAGGTAGAAATTTTCTACTTTCCATATATTCGACTCTTGCATGGAACATGAAGTAATTACTTAACTTTAAATTTAACTTACAAAAAAAAAAAAACTTATTGATAATATTAAAAGTTGAAATTTAAATGCTTTTTAACAAATTTACAGAATATTTCTCTTACTTTATGATTTTTTTAAGAAGAGGATTTAAAATTTTATTGTACATCAAAAGAATTATTTTTTATAAATTTGAAGATGAATTTTGTTAACACACAATTATTCGAATCACGTTGTGCGACGTTTCCCCCTTTTCCAGCCGCGGTTTTCTAAGAAGGAGGGAGGGGTGGAGGGAGGAGGAAGCAAGACGGTGGAAGGTTTGCTGCTTTCCCTAACAGGAAACGGGAAATGCCTCCCTTTCTTCTTCTCTTTCGTATCTTTCACACTCTTCCGCAACCATCTTTTGTGCGGTCCTGTAAATCTTCGTTTTCAGAGGTGGACCACGTATTCGAGGCGAGTTCACCCCTCGTTCGGGTGAATGTAAATAAAAGATCTTTTTAACGTGGATAAAAATAAAAATGGACGTTTTCAAATACGATTTATACGAAATTTATGTAAATATAGAATTGGTGAAAATTAATTTACGTGTTAAATTGTGATTATAATCTTTCAGATTTATAAAAGACGATTCCTTTTTTTTTTTTTTTTTTTGGTTTTCGAAATATATTTTTTAATCTTGAAACGCGAAAAGAATTTGGAAATAGGAATTATTCACATGTTATTAATTATTCATATTTTAGAGAATATATTGTGTTTAATATAAATATGTATTTATTATATTTACAGGAAAGCAAAAATGGACGAAGGGTATATAAGGTTAAAATAAGATAATCTTTTATTTCGCACAAAATTCTTTACCTTCTGTAGATTCGAAAATTGAGACGATTGGAATTATCTACGAATACGAAAGAAAAAAGACTCACCAGTGCGTGTTGCCAAAAGACAAATCGTTAGAAGCGCTGCAAGCTTCTTGGAAAACCTGCAAATAAAAGGGAACGCGTTGATTATTGATCGAGTCTCGTCAGTAACAGTAAGATAAATTGGGATTAATTGAAAAACTCTGTTTTCTAAAATGTATGAGATTGATGGATTCTGTTCAATTGCGGATGAATAATGATTAATGAAAATAAATAAATAAATAATAAAGAACAGTAAGAAATAACGTAATTTAATTTTCTTGCAATTTAAATTATATCCTCTACAATCGATCGATTTTTAAAGTAAAATTTAAAAGGCAGTGATAATGAGTGATAAATGAGTGATAAATGAGTGCCAATTAATAATCAATAAGAACAAATGCTTCGAAGTAGTAATAATAAATTAATTGATAGTACCTATGCAGTATTAATTGATGGAAAGAAGTCACCAGTATCTTTATTTTAATCTTTTATTTTTGATTAATTGTAAATATAATTGAAGATGAAAATAATTAAAGAAACAATAGTTTACATTAAAAAGAGAAATATATATATATATATTATTTACTTGAAATTCTATTTATCCTTCAAGTTTAATCTTTTCGTAGGAAGCCTTGTTAATATTTAATTTGTATATTAGCTTATTCAGGAACTAGTTTATTTCGAGAAATCTTTCGAACATTTCACCTCTTCCCTTCAAATTATCATTTTTTTTTATTGTAAAATATTAAACATGAATAATTAAATACGAAAATAATTAAAAGAACAACAGTTCAAATTAAAAAGAGAAATATAAATATTTATAATTCATTTGATTTCTTCCTTTGAAAATTCAAATTACCATTTTTTTAAATCGATAAAAATATATGTATATTCTCGAATCGAAATACATTTTAGCATTCCTTGGATATTTTCAGGACCAAGATTTGCAACGAAATAAAAATCATGATAAAGCCTTTATTAATATTGGAAAATTAATTATAAATATAATTGAACACGAAAATAATTAAAAGAACAACAGTTTAAATTAAAAAGAGAAATATAAATATTTATAATTCATTTGATTTTTTCCCTTGAAAATTCAAATTACCATTTTTTTTTAAATCGTAAAATATACGTATATTCTCGAATCGAAATACATTTTAGCATCCCTTGGACATTTTCTGGACTAACGAAATAAAAATCGTGACAAAGCCTTTATTAATATTGAAAAATTAATTATAAATATAATTGAACACGAAAATAATTAAAAGAACAACAGTTTAAATTAAAAAGAGAAATATATATATTTATAATTCGAACATTTGATTTTTTCNCACATTGCGGCCCGGTGCATCCACAATGGCCACTGTCACGTAATCGATCCACAGCTATCCGCGAGGTTGGCAAGGTTGGCATGTACGTTGGTCCACATACGAATCCAATTGTACGCATGAATTTCTGCGTATATACTATTTAATGGTAAACCTATCTAATTGATCGAATGGTGTCCGGCTAATTGGTGGTGTAACGGCTCGAGAACGAAATTTGTGCAAGGGAATTAAGTGACCTTGTAAAAATTGATGAATTGATAAATTCATCAAGAGATAATGATATATATATATATATGATAATTACATATATATGTAATTTATATATTGAAATAAAATATCGTAATTGTTGTTATTATTACTATTCTTTTTTTAGAAATATAATAATCGTGTTTCATTATCAAAAATTTCTTTAATCGAACAGTTCCCCTAATAAATTGGGATATTATTATCATTATTCTGTTCTAATTTGAATTAATATATTGAAATATTATATTGAAATAAAATATCATAAATATTTCATTATTTACATATCATGTGTCATTCTTTATAATTGAATTATAATAATTATTACTATTCTTTTTTGTATAAATATATTAATCATGAGAAAAGGCTAGTATGTTTCATTGTTCGAAAATTTCTTTAATCTAACAATCACGTCCCTCTTTTATTTTGGGATATTATTATTATCACTCTGCTCTAATTTGAACTTGAACGTTTCAACTAATTAATTGCCTGCGGCTTAGCGGTTACAGCAGAGATAATATTACATACATTACATATATATTTATATATATATATATATTATATATATATATATATATCTGAAGAGTCGATATAATACAGAATTTTTGAACTCGATGAAACGTAATTAACGATAACGAATGATTGTGAATAAAATTTGTGGTGTTATTGATGTAGTGGAGGATAATTAATTAGTATAGAGGGAATAGCATTAACATAGGGTAGAGTTACATTGGAAATTATGAATATCGAGTAGATTTAAATTTTAATAACAGTTTGAACAAATGAATTAAAAGTGGGGACGATATAATAATTTTTTAAACACGTCGATGGTGAAAACAAAGAAAAAGATAAAATATAGATCAGATTAATATTAAATATTAATCGTTGATTTTAAATACCATTTATCATATTCGTAGTTCAGTTTTTGAATAATCTACCAATTTTTCTTCTTTTTTTAATTATTTACGACAATAAAAAAAGATCTATTTACTTCGAACATGAAGAAAAAAAATATCGATCAATTTCTTCGTAACATTATTTCCTCCTCCGGAAAAAAAGCCAGCATCGTTAGTATAACGATATGACTGGCGATAATGCCTCGTTATCACGGTGAAACGAGCACGGTGATATTGTAGGTGGAAGAGGCGATGTCTGCCATTAAATCGTATGCGAAAACCTTGTATACACGTGTCAGAAAATCAAATTAGCCGAATGTAATGGTTTAACATTTGGGGTTGGCAAGAAGCGTACCGGAAACACGTATGTACATTCATCGTCGAAAGACGACATTAAGGATAATTTAGACGAAATAATATGTTATTTAACATAACAGTTTTGTAAAATATTTGACGTAATAAATTTTCTTTCATTTCTTTTTTTTCTTTTCATCCATTGATATTTACAAAATATTCTTCATAGGAATGAAATAACAATTTTCGATGAACGATGTATGATGAAAAAGAGATATTATCTACAATTTAATAAAACACAAAGCGTATCAATTTTGAAAATTTTCCCCATTCCAGAAGTTGAAACATTTTTATCGTATCGTGCGATATTGATGAATAATCCGTGTAATCTGATATTGCATTACCTTCATTTTCAAAGATAACGATTGTTAAAAAAGTAAATTTATTTAAAAAAAAAAAAAAGTAACTTTGAAAAAAATTGGGTTTCAGAGAAATTTTTGCCAAATATTGGATTTCTCGTAACACATTACAAAATCAAATATATCTTGATTAAGATACATTTATGAAAATAGATACGAGAGATTCCTTTCAATATTCATTTAACAGGCAGTTTCAATTAATGAAAAATTTTCGAGAAAAATCTTAAAAACGATGGAAAAGATATAAATTTATTTCATTTGAAATTTCATTTCTGATAATTTCTTTTTCTATACTAAATATACTATTTAAAAGTTCAGAGACGCGCCATCATTCCAAAAAATTAGCGACGATTTTCAACATATTTTTCGACGTTAAAAAAAGGGAATAGAATAGAATTACACAGTGTGCACACTAATTTAGATATAAAAATTTTATAAATTAAAATTATAAATTTAATTTATAATTTTTATATTAAAAATTTATAGGATAAACTATAAGTTTATTATAAAATTTTTTTATTAAATTAATTTTAATATTATAGATATAATTTAAAAAATTTAATTAAATAATTTACTTAAAGATTTAAAATTGAAAATTTTATTATTTATATAAAAATATATATTAAAATTTATAAAATATAGAAATAATGATTAAATAAGTAATAAAGTATGTCATAAGAATAAATAATTTAAAGGAACTCGGCAAAAATTATTATTCACCTGTTTATCAAAAACATGTCCTATTGTTTATAATTTTAAGACAATCTGCTCCATGAATTTGTTTTAATAGCTGCAGCACACTAAAAAATATTATTACAGATTTCTATTTAAAAATTAAATCTTTCCAAGGTGACTGCAAAGTCGAATAAAATATCTGCATACCCTGTAATTTCTCTCCAACATTTTTTCCCACATCGTTCATATTTTCCCAAATATTCATACGTTTCTTAAATCACAAGAATATATATACAAATAATCCAAATTTCAAACAAAAAAACTTGGTCTAAAATATCCAAAAAAAACCATAAAAAATATCCAAAAATATCCATAAAAAATATCCAAAAAAAACCCTAACAACATAAACACTTTACTCTATATCTCTGACAAATCTCTATACTATAATAAATATATACTCTATACTCTAATCTCTGATAAACTCTCCCTTCTTCGCTTCAATAATATTTACAATTCCAAGAAACAAGTTGACAAATTTTAACAACTCTCATCAATGGGGCAAATACAACGAATTTCCAACGCTGGTTTCGAAAGAAGAAGGATCGAATTAAAATCGTTCGATCAAGCTTAGAAGCAACGGTTCCAATTTTCACGGTGATTTATGGAACTTTATTCCTCGATGATGGATCGAGCCCGCGGCCTCGATAATGCTTGGCCATCGCGAAATGGAAACCGCGGCGCACAGGAGGAGGATCGACGCACCGGCGGCGTTCACTTATCAAAACCCACCCAAAGGTTTGAGGTCGATGCATTCCGGTGGCATCAGTCGATGCACCGATATTCCGCTTACCTTACGTACTAATGAAATTGGTGAATGTCCACCTGTCATTTCCACGAACATTCCAACGATATATATATATTCGATGTGAAAATTGCTCGATTCTTCTTCGAAAAATTTTCATCGAATTTATTAATTATTAGCGAGAGATGGCTATGATGTGAACGAAAGTGATTTATATAATACCTTAATTCTATGAAAATAAAGTTTAAGGGGGAAAAAAAAATAGTTAAAAGGTTAGTTGAAATAAGCGAGTATTAAGGATAAACCGTTCCAATTCCAACAACAACAAGTTTTCAGGGAAAGAGAATGAATAATTCATATTACGTAAATTGAAAGTGAAGAAACTGGCGAGTGGAAAGAGTAGGTTCAAAAATTTCTCGA